TGGTGGAGCTGCAACATAAGAGCAGTTCATCCCGATGTGGGGGTGTAGTGACGTGCTGCCTCACTTCCAAAGTATTCACTCACTACCTGATCGTACCGTACTCAGCTTGCGTTCAACTGATTTATTGCCAGCCTTGATCTGAAGGTCCTTGTTTGTTCTTTTGTAAAGAATGATTTTTCTGGTGTTATTCAATGATTTGGCGATGGGCCTACTTTCTCCAAAGGCCTATCTGTCGGAGGTTTTCTTCTAGCGCTTGCCAACTGTATGTTCTTCAAGCACATGCAAAGATTCACGAAACATAAAAGGTATCCTTTTTCGGGAAGAACAGCCATTCGCGGGAAAAGGAATTTTGATCAGCCACCACATAGATAGATAAAACTTTCCAGATAAATATAGCAAGCCAGAGCCTGAACCCCATTTGTGACGCTTTAAGCAACCTGGTTCAGCGCAGCGACCTCCGTCGATGGCTCAATCTGCTATAGGACGAGATCCAATTTCCCCAGTCAATTCAATAGGAAACGGGATGGAAAAAGTTCATTTTCTCGTTCGGTCTTTCACAAAGCAGTGAGCAAGTCTTTCCGGCATGCCGCGCGGGTCCCGATTGATGGGGTTACCAAGTCTCAATCAACTTTCCACTTACTCTACAATAGCAGTACAGGTAAGAATCCTTTTTGTTCCCACAAAATGAATTGATTTGTCGTATCAACGCTGCTTGGCCGAATGCCAAACAGCTGGTTTTTGGTTTGGTTCAGATGTTTGACTCCATCCGATGCTTCACTTCGATCCCTTCGTGTCGGCATCGCGCCCACTGAACATGCTCCAGAATCGCATGCGCCCACTTCCACGTGGATTTGCTTGAGTCACGCCCCGAGGCGTGGTCAAGGCATGTGCGACGCAACTTGCGCAACTTGTTCCTGACATGAAGCCCATGTCCGTCGTTCCGTGCGACTCTGATCTCTCATGACGCTGAGACAGCAGAAAGCTACTAGTAACAAGTGCCACGCTAGTAGTAACAGGTGCCTTACTAGTAACAAGTGCATCGCTAGAAACAAGTGCCTTACTACTAGAAACAAGAAGCACTTGCTACAGGAAGGTGTCAAACAGAATCGCGTTAGACCGGATCCAGCTACGCCGGACATAGCAGGCAACCGCTTTCGAAAACAACAGCACGGAGCTTGAAGCTCTGGTTGTGCACAGTCGTGGAGTGGTAACTGGGATGCAGTGGGATGGTAGCAGTTGCAGCTGTTCCTTGTGCAAGCTGCGTATTGTCAAGATTTGCTGGCTAGAAGCACGCAATGAACTTCTGAATGGCAGGTCTCTGAAAAGTTTTGAAAAGGGAGCTGCAGTGGGATAGACCTACAGCTTTTTGAGTGCTCGTCTCACCAAGTTGCCCACGTGGCGACTGCAGGGCCACAGGGTTTCAGTGTCGCACACAGATGAACTTTCAGTCCAAACAGGCTTTCAAAGAGGCAACAGGTGTTTTAACTGCATGGAGCTAGTCTTTCGAGCGGCTCTAGACTAAACGCTCCTCAACATTTGCTGTTTTGGAGATTACCTTTCCAACTGAAAGTGCTCAAGTTTTGGGTGAGCCCTATCTCCTCCCGCTTCACAAGCAGCGAGCCAAAGAATGTGAAATAGAGATTGCAAGGGTTGCTCCTTGCGAGAAGCTATAGTTCCCGGAATCTATATGTTCTTTTGGGATGCTCGTTTGTCTTGCTTCCGACATTCAGGTCGCAGAGGGCACCCTTGGTGGAAAGAGAGAAGAAGCAAGAAGCACTGACAACTTGTCATGCTCCCCCGAGTCATCAATGCTTCAAGAATCTTGCTCTGCATGTACAATGAAGCAATCCTGTAGCAATCCTCAGCCAGTTTAAGCTTCACCAAAAGTCTGGATAAAGGAATGCTGAAAGGACTTCTCTGCTTCTGCATTCCTGGGTTGTACGCCCGCTTTTCCTTTCCTGGGCAGTGTTGAACTGAGTTTCAATAACATTGGTATTTTAGATTCATCTCAAGCAAGTGGCTGGCTAGGAGCAAGAAGCTACTAGTAGCAAAGGGCATCGCTACTAGGAGCAAGGACGGCACTACAAACTCCTGGCCTTACTAGGAGCCAGAAGCTACTAGTAGCTTAAGCAAGGCTGCGCCCCCCTTTGCACACAGCATCGCACCCGTGCAGATTGCAGCTTTCGCCCGAACAAGGTGCTACCCCCTGATCAGTGCAACGCCAGCATGAGCTGCGCAGCTCTTGATGAAGAGCTCCTAACCCTGATCCAATGAGGTCTGACGGGCTTTTGCTGAGGGCTCCAGCATCCTGCCAAACGTCGTGTACGACAGCTTTCGAACACCTCATATCCCACCTGGACCTTACCGTTCTCTGGGGCCCTACACACCAACAAGCACACTAGGATGGACACTTGTGGGTGTGAAAATCTCAAAGAATGCAACCCTTGACAAGCCCATTCTGGACGTTGATCAATGTTAAATCGAAGCTTCATAG